GTGTGGTTCTGCTGCTGAGAGTGGTGTCTGATTTTAATCTTGCACAGACCACATCCACTGCCTTATCATAGCCATGTGATGTGAGTATCAGTCACATGGAGGCAGGACTCAAAAGCCTGAATTTTGCCTGAAACTCTCAGACTGAAGAAGTCTCTTGGAGGAGAGACGAAACGTTTTCTTTAGAGAAGAACTCGTCCAGAAGACCTATACAATTTTTTTCTTTTTGATTAAGTACACACAAAATGCTTAAGATGCTAAAACACACACACACACACACCAGGTGCATGAAGCAGGCATGTGTGAGGGGATAGTTGTTTTGTTTTCGTTAGACTTAAAGAGGTTAAAGTCAGCTGAAATGACTACCTGAAGCTATTGGCCTGCTAACAGTTTCCAAAGTTAGCACAAATTATTACTTTAGACAACAAAATGTTAGCTTTGCTATTATTTTTTAGTGGACTAGCAGGGGTAACTGTGCCCACCACTGTTAACATTAGTTTGAGCATGGCTTCTCATGATATTAGGGGAAAAAAAAGTTATTTTACATCAAAATGGCTACAACTTCATCATTTTACCACATGAAACAATCTTTTGAGGTGGGTAACAGAAAGTAAACTTCATCATTTTGTCTCAGATGGAAATGTAAATATCAGCTTCCTTATATTAGCAAATTTCATAACTGTATTGTTTGACAATTGTGAATTCATTTGACTTTATTAGATAAAAGTTTAAATCGACGGCTTTATGTGCACACAGTTATTTAATTATGTACAAAGTTAACTGACTTGCTGTTAACAAACAGTAGTTTTATTCAAGATTTAACACTTAGATGATCACAGAATAGATGAACAAGCATTGATCTAATACATTTTTTCCCTCTGATGCCATACCAGAGACCCACTATTAAGCAAAGCTGCAGCCCACCAAATTGACACGTATTTCTTTTGTATACAGGTGCATATAGACATGTGTGTGTTCTCTATGTACATAGGCTGCCAGTTAGACTGCTGCATAAAGTTTGCATCCTCTCCAAAATCTTTAACTTTGGATGATTTATTTTATGTGGGGAATAAAAAAATAAAATAAAAAAACAAAAGTTAATACAGAATACAAACAGTACAACAGTAGTCTGCATGCTACCTGTCATCCAAGCTGCATTTATTTATGGGTATTAATTGTAAAAAAGTAAGTGTTAGATAATCGTGTGTAGTGCTCCTTCAGAGTAGAAGGCAGTGTTGTCCAGTGGATCCTCATGAAAAGGAGCACAGCAAGAATGAAAATAAAATAAAAACCTAAAAATATTCCAATGGGAAACTTAAAAAACAAAGTTACCAACAGTACAGAGATGCAGCCATTTTTAAAAAATACAGCCCTGCAAAGAGGTCAGAAAGATTAAAAAAAAAGGTCAGTAGGAGAAAAAGTTGTAGAACTGCAGTGGAAGTGTACACAAGGAAAGTATCCAACCTGTTGACCTCCTGTAGGAATGTAAGAAGAGATCACTTCACCGGTGGGAAATGCAGGCAGGACTTGCATCTGGCACTAAAGGTAGAAAACATGTCTCTTATCCAACGTGGAGCAGTGGGAGGCAGCAGGAGGAGCACGCCTCGCCAGTAAGAGAGAACGGTGGGAGAGTTGGTGGACGGAGAGCTTTGCGTTAGCACCAACTTTTAAAGTTTTTCAACGGCGGGTGTCGAAGCATAGAGGGTATGTTCTGACAGTGACGATGAAGGGTTAAAGAGGGGGTGAATGGAAGGTGTGAAGGAGCAAACGTGGACCCAGAATGTGTGTAATGTGGCTGAAATGAAACGAGTCAGTTGTCTACTTTTGTTTAGTTAGTAATCAGTGCTTTATTATGAGGCATTTTAATTTTTTCAGAAATATCAAGTATTTGTGCAACTTTTAATTTCAAATAAATAAATCATTGGATGCTAGGCAAAACTGAATTTGTTATATGAAAAAAAGAGATGAAGTCTTCCTTTAGGCCAGTGGTCTCTGTGCAGTCGGCCAGGCTAGTTCTCTCAATCATCACAGTTTTTTTTTCAGGCCACAAGCTTCTCTCTGCAGAGGAGTAGAGGGAAACTCAGGGCCAGATGTGGTCAATACATAATGCTAGAAAAGCTGCACATTTGAAAAATATTTACCATAAATGCGAGAAACTACGGAGCCCACGAGGGGACGGGGGATTTTTTTTCCTTTTGCGTTCCCATGCAATACCTTTGCGTTCCCTCGCAATACTTTTGCGTTACCTCGCAATTTTGTTTTACATTCCAACGCAGAAGTTTGTTTTGAATATGAACTGAATTAAATCAGACTTTTATTTTGAAATATCCGGTTACCAAAACATGATCTGTCGCCACATGTTCTTGAATTGACATTAATGTTGCATGGTTGCACTGTGTTAAAGTATCGGCATATGACATACTTCCATGCGTGGTTGTGTGATATATTCATTCTCAAGCTGAATTAAAGCAGTAGGCTAACTCGCTAATGGTGAACATGCGAGTTTGTTAATAAACCGGTGTTGTACGATTTTCAGTTCCCCTGTGAAAATCTGTTCCCCCTGTGTTGGAAGCGCCTCCCTCTGGTCTGACATTATGCCTGGACCAGTGATTCTCTAAGGCAGTGTTTCCCAAAGTTGGGGACAAGACCCAAAGTGGGGTCCCGAAACATCAAGGTGGGGTCCTGAAAAGATTTTCAGAATTAATTACATTTTTRCCTTAGTTGTTACAAAGGAGTGAGGTTAGTGTATTTAAAATGGCTATATTGTTACTATGCCCATGTTTAGTTGACCTGATACAAATGTTTATCATCCTAAAATAGTTGGGGGCACAGGTCTCTGCTACTGTTATTTTGTGGGTCAAAAGCTGAAAAGTTTGGGAACCACTGCTCTAAGGTTAACCACAAGGGGGAACAGATTTTCACAGGGGGAACTGAAATTCGCACAACACCGGCAGGCACAATAGTGATAAACTACTTTTGCGAGGGAACGCAAAAGGTATTGCGAGGTAACGCAATACTATTGCATGGGAACGCAAAAGAAAAATAATCTCCCGTGTCCCCTCGTGGGCTCCATAAGAAACTGTGCAGCCGAGAATGAATCATTGTAAATGCTGTGCAGACTAAAAAGAAAAATTAACAACTAATTTTGGTCCCAGATCAGGCTCATTTTGTGTTTGCAGTTCACCATTTGGGGAGTCCTATGCTAGGCTAGGGTTAGGCTAATGCTAGCTAAATCAAAAAATCTTTTTACATGTATATATTTTTAAATTTGTAAAACAGCTTTCTTAAAAATTACATATTTGTGTGATAGAAGGCTATGTTAGCTAATGTTTAACTACTTCTACTTAGTTTGAACATCCATTTTTTTTTGTAGAACTGTCCGTCTTCCATGGCTGCTCAACGTATCAACCCACCGGAAGCTGAGTAATGAACAAATGATGTGCAAAAGTGTAAAGTTTTATTATGAGCTAATAAAGCATTATTTTACACTTGTATAACATTTTTGAGAAAAAGTTATATTATGAGCTTGTAAAAAGCGATATAAAAAGGGTTTTTCAGTTTTGCTAGCCGTTAGCCTAGCATAGAGGAAGACTTCAACACCTTTTTCTATATAACTATTCGATAAAAAACACCAGACTATCCCTTTAAGGCAGGGAAGACTTCATGTCTCCAAAGAGAAAAGTTTTGAGAATAAGTATTTTCAAACGCTCCTATGTTGTGTCAGCGATTGCAGATGTGACTGGGCCCAGGTTCACACACAGAAAATCAGGGGTTAAACTGGGAGCGAGCAGGACAAACACCCACCCACTAGCTGAAAATCACAGTAAAAAGACAACATTGTTACGTTTTTGTTTTTTGGTTCATCATCAACAAAAAGCTTCTGTTTGTTTTTGTCATGTGAGCTGAACAAGTCAGCCCTATCTCAGTAAGGTGGACCAAATCCCAATTTAACCCCTGAATTGACCTCCAAGTGAAAACGATTTTACTTAAAATGGACCAAACAGGTGACGAGTTATAAAGCTGCAAGGCTCCATGCAGTGCTACCTCAGTAAGATTTACATCAACGCTACTGGTTAAAGAACAAAATTACTTCAAGGGATCGTTCAGCTATTTTGAAGCAGAGTTTTGTAGAAAGGCTATGAGCAAGTAATATCTTACCTGCAGTAGATAGCTCTTTAAATGGAGAAACGAAGTGTTATTCTAACAAAATTGACAAGCTAACGGCTAGTCCACTCGGAGCCAGGTTTAAGTTTATGCCATTAATTTATTTATTTGTCAGTTTCAGATTATCGTAAATTCAGATTCTAGGATTACCGCCTGCCTCAGATAATGTCGACACAATGGAAATAAGTGTTTAACTTCCTTGAGTCAACCAAGTATTTTTGATGTATGTACTTTTTATATTTGTGTATACATTATTTTTACAAAATAAACTCAACTGTCTGGTAGCAAAATATCTCTTGAACTAGACTAATTTTATTGAAACTTTCAGAAAGCAATGATTGGATATATATGTACAATTAAATACATTTTAAAGTCAACACAGTTCAAGAGGGCCGCCACAGCCAACTGATAATAAAAAACAAACAAAAAACAGTATAATTCAGTTTGTTTTACAAACATTGAGCTAAAATTTGGTGTGACTGTAGCTGAGAGCCATTCTCAACTCATAGTTCAAGTGCCTCCCATTGTGCTCGACCTTTGTCTAAACTCAAGCATTAAATGCTGGAGTGAACCCTGTTTGTCTGTTAGCAAAATTTCTCAAGAACCCAAGGGCAGGTTTTAATGAAACTTTAATCACTGGGTGTAAATCTGGAACCGATTATCTTTTGGAGCTAATCCAGTTCAAGATGGCCGCCACAACCAATCGACATGATCTAATAGAAGTCAGTTTTACAAATATTGTGGTAACATGTTGCGGTAGAAGCTGAGAGTCATTATAAACACACTTGGAGCGTGACATAACAGATTGTGGATAAGGTTATTTTGGAGGTTAGACTAAATCGGATATAAATCTGTCATTTCTTGAAGTAAAATGATCTTAGTCTAAAACTACGACATGAAAGGCAGTGGGTGATAAGCATTCCTAAAAGTGCACATAGCAGCCCCACTCAGACTAGCCATTAGCTCATCAGTCCGCTTAGAAATAAACTCATTTTCTTCTGAGGTTGTTCAAAAGCCATTTACAACAGGTAAGATGTTAACTGTTAAAAATCCCCACATAACTCTTCAAAACATTCAAACAGTCACTTCAAACCTTTTCAACAACAGAGTCGTGAAATTTAAAAATCTTAAATTCTATCTAACTTATTCAACAAACAAAAGCTGTGATCATATACATGTGAACTAGCAACAAGCTAACGTGATCTGCGACTTGATCAGTGGTTGAATTTGCCTCTTTGTTGTGTATTTTCCTTTAAAAAAAAACTAAAGCATTACTTTAACACAGCTTCAATTTCACCATTATGGACAGAAGGACTCGTGTGATTAAACATACGTGTCTAAGAAAGCACAGACATGTGAGCGGGGCTCTGATGGTGCTAAAGCTTACATGCAGTTAATGGTCTGAGATGACAAAAACAAAACAAAAACAAAACAAAACAAAAAAACCAGCAAAACAATAAATACATTGTATAAAACATAATTTCATATCAATATATTAAAATACTATTAAAATAATATCTTAGACAATATTGCAATATGAAATTGACTGATAAATAGTTGGTTGGCCTACACACAGAAATATATTTATGTATTTATATATATATATGTATTTTTAAGCATCTGTGTCTTTCATAGTTTTGGATTTGAAGTTTCCAGATTTTCCCCACTCGGTAGCAGTACAATCCAGAGAGCGAATACATTTTTGTTTAATTTTTTTCTTCCTTCAGCCAATACGAACGATGAACAAACAGTACACAGTCCCATAATAAAGATATACACACTGGATAGGCTACAATATAAATGTCAAGGACAGAAAAATAGAAAAATATCAATAAAAATCAAAAGACAAATACAGAGAAAGTAAATATAGTAAGAAGTGTACTTATGAGTCTTTGTGGTTCTGGCTGCTGGAGCTCGTCTCGGCTCTCCTTCTTTGTTTATTGACTTGTTGTTTTTCAGTGCTGACGCTCACCGCCGCACAAACACACACTTACATACATTTGAGAATACGGACTCATGCAACGGGCACACCGCACTGCAGGAGCGCAGGTGTGTCCTCACACACACACACACACACACACCCACACACACACACACACACACACACACACACAC